GAACTGTTGATGAATGTTTACAATAGTAAGGTACTTAATTAAGCGTCTCTATATATAACAAATTCATGATTAACGAACGCTTTGAATAATTTGTAGCATACCTTTTATTTGTGCAGATATCTTGGTGAGTTGAAAAAGTGTGTTCGAAACAAGGCAAGGCCCGAATGATCAGTTGTGGAGGCATGGCTCACATACGAGTCACTTACTTTTTGTGCAATGTATCTTCAAGATGTTGAGACAACTTTCAATCGTCCTTAACGCAAGAAAAAGAAACTATCTGTTTTTGCCCAAATTGCGCAACCTTGTGAAAGGCGAATCGTTTACAAAAAAGAACATGGAGGTAGCACATTGGTTCATACTCAACAATTGTGATGAGGCTTTGCCATACCTTGAAGAGCATGAACAGTTGATAAAGTGGGAACATCCTTCCCATTTCTATGCCAAGAAGCACCGTGACTTGTTTCCTTCGTGGTTTCACGCACATGTAAGTTGTATTAGGTTTGAATTGAGCATATTTTCCAACTTGTTCATGCCTGTTTTTAAATTTGGTTACACTAACATGTTAACTTTTTGTATATGTTATATTAGATGAACAAATTGAAGGAATTGAATTCACCCTCTTACGATGAAGAATTATATAACTTGGCAAGAAGACCGCTTCACGTTGAATTGTTCTCAGGTTGTCATGTCAATGGGATCAAGTTCTTGGGGGCAACACGTGATGAAAAGTTGTCTACTCAAAATAGTATCTCCATGTCCTGGGTGCGGGCGACGGTGAAGACATTGATTTTTATGGCAAACTAACTAGTGTGGTACAATTGTTTTACAAAGATAGGTGTCAAGTGATACTGTTTAAGTGTCTTTGGTTTGATACAAACCCACATAACCGAACAAGTGTTAAGTGAGACCATGGTTTACTATCAGTAAACACTACGAGACATTGGTACGATGAAGACCTATACATTTTGGCAACTACGGCGAAACCAATATTCTATCTAGACTACCCTAAAGCCGGTAATGGTTGGAAAGTTGTTCAGAAGATTGATCGAAGAGGGCTATATGATATTCCAGAACTAGATCATGATGACAACGTCGCTGACCAACAGTTACCATCTTCGATAGAAATTGGTGAAGAAACATTCTGGGTTACTAATATTGCCCAAGAACGGTTTGACGTACCTGGAGTTCCCGAATTTGAATATCAATTGACCTTGGTGATCTGCCTCAATACAATGCACCGGAAGAGGCAAACGAAGATGATGATGAATGGGAATCCGGAAATGATAGTAGTGATGATAGCGAGAGTTATTATTGTAGTTCGGATGAGGATTAATATAAACTTGTAAAGGAAAAAGCAGGAGGCTGAGGGTTTAATACCGCTTCTCTTCTACCCAACTCTAATATTCCCAACAAATCATGTGATCATCTCCATTCTTTGATTAGGTATTTCTCTGATTTGTTTTTTTTTTTTTGGCATTCAATACATTTGCTAATTTTGCTTCTGATTTTTGGATTTACATTATTATTCGTGCATTAAAGTCATAACAAATAATTGGTGATGTAATCGTATGAAACTCACCTTCTACCCCTTTTCCCATTCTTTGAAATTCATGTTTAAAGTCATAACAGGAAACACCCTAATTATCTTTGTTTAGCTGGTTCTCATATGATTGCACATGCTGAAAAGCTTTACATTGTCTAGACCAGGTCGAGAAAGTGATAGTGAGGCTGAAAAGCTTCGTCAAGTTAAAGCAGTGCTTGAGGAGGTATCTATTTTATTTGAAATTTCTGCTTTTTGTAATTCAATGTATTTAGTTATAATTTCTCTTTCTTTTTCTTTTATTTTCATCAGGAATTGAATTTACCTTTGTGCTTTATAGATTCATGTAGTATAATTTTAATATGAGTTTATTGCTTATCGATTCATTTTGTCTTGCAATTCTCAACAGAAAGTGAAATGGCTGATTTAGAATTGGAGCCTGATTTATCTCCAAAACTTATCAAGATCATGGAGCAAAGGTTATCACTTATCGAGCAGAGGAGTGGTTTTCTTCAGTCTCATTAACCAGGTTTACCTATGTCGTTGATTCTGTGCTTGCTGAATTATAGTTAAATGTAGTGTTTGACTAAGAACAAAAAACAAATTTTGGAATTGAAATGGTGTTGGACCTTTTGCTTGAAGACAGCCTGATGCCTCGGCAGAAGAGTATGCAAGGGCGATCAAGGAGCTACGGAAACTCAGCACTTCCATGGACCTTATAAGTCGTCTAAGAGCCACAACCAAGGTACTAACATAGAACAAAACCTTCAACATAAACCTTCATCCTTGTGCAGACCGAACTAAATCATTTGTTTGCTTCTCTGCTCTGTAGGAGATTAATGCTTTGAGGACTCTGATCGATGAATGTTCTCAAGAAAAGACATGCTTGATATGGTAACTACCGAATTGGATCAAGCCATCCACGAGGAAAGAGGGCTGCACAATTTGTTGCTCAAGTCCCTGCTTCCTAAGGATCAAGCCATCCACGAGGAAAGAGGTCAGAGCAGGTATTAAGCACCTGCCCAACAAATTTTTATTCCATTGCGAGTCTTTTATCTTTTTATTTTTTATATGACAAAAGATTTCATTAGGAACTGGTGGGGACGAGGCTTCTTTGTTTGCAATGGACATATTTAAAATGTAAGTTTGTATCAATACTTGTAAATTCTTGTATGCATTTTCTCTCGAGAGTCTGCGTCTAACAATTAACCACAGGTATGATAGATTCTCACACAAGAAAGGCTAGAAGTTTGAAGTGGTGGATATAACTGAGTCTGATCTTAAAGGATGTAAGGTGTGATGTCTGATTTTAATTCATGCATTTCAACAGACCCAGATTGAGCTACAAGGTTGCTCACACAGTGCGACTTTGTTTCAGAATTATTTTCTTGTCATAATGAATTTGTACACAACTGCAGGTGAAGGTACCGGCATATTTGACCTACCGTCATGATCTTAAAATCTACAACTCTGATGAGGGCCGTCTGCAGTTATAGTCTCATTAGTGCTCATGGGTTTATATATTTTTTGTATGTTGCTCCCTTTTTCTTCTTGTCTTATTTGACCTCTATTTAAATGAAGTAAATTGCCTTACTGTTATGATCATTAGCCCCTGGAATTTTCATCATTTATAAGTTACATTGCTTACAAGATATCTGTTTACAGATGTCTGCAGCTGCTTTTGCTAAGGGCCTACTTTCACTCGGAGGGCAGCTAACACAAATCCTGGTCTATAGTATTTTTTTACATGATTGTGACTGCTTTAGGATGTTGAGGTGCATGACTGAATTTATTCCCTTTCTTAAGGTTTCCCTTGTTAGCAAGGACTCCTGTATGTGGGATGGACTCCTCTATGTTGAGGTGCAAGTGTTGAGATGGACGAAGCAAAGGTTTGTCATTTTACAGGTTGATTTGTTTTAGTTTTTGGTGTGGCGGAGCCCATAAATGAGAATGCTTCTTCTTTAACATATGTGATCATGTGATTCTCTTTTTCACATACTTCCCCTGCAGGCTAGGTTGAACGAGATTATTAAAGACGGGTAATAACAGTGCAACGCCTCCTTGGATGGCTGATGGAGGTGGTCTCCTTTGATGGCTTTCATAAAATATAATATAAGATTTTGTGGTATCCACTTGTATAAATATTTTAAATTGATGATTGAATCAGTTCGTTGTATTCATATAGGGTCAAGGAGTGTAGCTGTAAAAAATCATCAAAATTGAAGTTAAAATAACCATTAAATTGTGATTTTTTGTTTATAACCGTCGAAAAGTTTTGTCTCATTACTTGATCTCTAAATGTTTGTTTTTTACGATTTTTTGCATATGCGATCTCGAAGTATATAAAACAAGTTTGACGGCTTGATCGTTGAAACTAATTTCGTACAATGCATTTCCCATCAAGTTCAATGGTAAAAAAAAAAACTTTGCGTGACGTAGGTACAACTGCATCGTGCAAAGCTACCTATGCGCAACGCAGTTGTACCTATGTCGCGCAAAGTTTTTTTTTTTTTTTTTTTTGCTTTTCTTTTGGGGTTCTTGCATTGCCTTTTTCTTTTGTGGTATCCACTTGTGTAAATGTTTTAAATTGATGATCGAATTAGTTCATTGTATTCATATAAGGTTAAAGAGTGTAGCTGTAAAAAATCATCAAAATTAGAGTTAAAATAACCGTTAAATCGTAATTTTTCATTTATAACTGTCGAAAAGGTTTGTCCCATTATTTGATATCTAAATGTTTGTTTTTTGCGATGGCGTATGCGATCTCAAAGCATATACAAACAAGTTTGACGGTTGATCGTTGAAACTAGTCTCGTACAATGCGTTTCCCATTAAAATGAGAGATTCACTAACACATGGAGTTTATATATACTTTCATTAAGTATAACATAATATTTTGTGGTATCCACTTGTGTAAATGTTTTAAATTGACGATTGAATTAGTTCATTGTATTCATATAGGGTTAAAAAGTGTAGCTGTAAAAAATCATCAAAATCAGAGTTAAAATAACCGTTAAATCGTGATTTTTCGTTTATAGTTGTTGAAAAGGTTTGTCCCGTTACTTGATATCTGAATGTTTGTTTTTTGTGATTTTTGGTGTATGCGATCTCGAAGCATATATAAACATGTTTGACGGTTAAATATTTGAAATTAGTTTCGTACAATGCATTTCCCATCAAGTTCAATGGTATATACATACATACATATATATATATATATTTACAAAGTAGATTTTAATTTATTTATTTTGTACTTATAACACTTAAGAAATTGAATGATATATATGCAACAAAATTTATTGTGGAGTTTATGTAAAAAAAAATTGAATTTGAAAGAAAGAAAGTCACATTTTTAATAATTTTTATAATAATTTAAAAAAAAAAAAAACCTTGCACAAAGCCTTAATGTGATCGTCGCGCAAAACAACTTTGTGCAACGCCAAATTGTATACCTAGGTAGCGTCAGTTGTGATAATGTTGGCGGTTCAATAGTAAAAAATAGGAGGTTTTTTTTCAATTTCCGAGTTTGGAGTTTGGACGCCAACTCTTTCTTTCCCCAAGTCTTTCTTCCCGTAGACCACCAACTATTTATTTCTTCCCTCTCGCTCATCTCTCCCTCTCTCTTTCTCGTGAACACCAAATCTTGAACCCAAATCCAACCACCATGCGAAACGACGGGTCGCCATGCGACTCTCGAAGCCGACGCGAATCAAGTCCCAAAATCAAGGTAAGGATTTCTGATTTTCGATGGGTTTTTGTTATTTAGGGTTTAAGGTCTAATTGCATGTTTATTTCTGAGTACTTTGTCTAAATCTCCAGATAAAATTGGATGTTGGTTCTGATTTAATAGAGTTTCAGATTTGTGAGGGTTTGAGGTTATGTGGGTTTCGAATTAGGGTGGGTGCAGTCGTGTTGGTTTCTGTTTGTTCCCAAAGTAGTATACAGTTGCAACATGGTTGAACTATGGACCGGATTCAAACTTCTACAGAAAACGCTTTCTGTATTTAACTTTTCCAAAGCCAGCAACACTTGAACTAAACTTCTGCTGCCTTTCAAATTTCTTTAATTCTAAAGATATATGCTTTGAAAATTTTAATTTATTGAGTGAGAAAGAAGCTTGGGTCAGTTGGATTTTGACATTTAATTTATTCATGTTTTTTGTTGCTTGCAATGTTCTCTCATTGTTTGTTCTGAGATTCTGTGATCTTATTTTTCTTAAGAATTGACATTGGTTTGCCATATAATGTTTCAGGAACTGTTATACCTTAAGGAGGGAACACTTATAGAAGGAACTGTCAGGAAAAACTAACAGAAGGTATAATGACTTTCAAACTTACTTTAAAATCAGACTGGGCGCATAGTTTCCCTGTTTTTTTTTTCTTTCCATTTTTGAAGAAGCGCTGCATGTGTGCAGTACTTTTGACAGATTAGAACACCACAAAATGGAAATAAAATAGCATGCGACTTTCTCTCAAAAGATATCTAAATGCATGAAAAAGCTGAGAAGATACATAATATATATCTCCAGAATAGAAATTAAAATTTTGACTGTCTCTGCTGCCTTTCAAATGGTACTTTCCTATGATATGCTTTGAAAATTTTGCCTCTGCACCCAGTTTGTCTGTTGGAAGGAGCAAGCTGCGGTTGTTTAGAGAATTATGGATATCATTTTGCTTTCTTGATTTGGATATGATTTGGGGGTCTGTTGATTTTGTTCTATGAATGTTTAAATTTTCTCTAACATCATCAAATTCTCATTTGCCTAGCAAAATCTTAGTTCTCTCACACTAACAAAGATACAAACAGAACAAAACAAATAAGCTTTTGGCACAATTTTTTATCGTCTACACTCTTTTAATTGCAATCAACTAGCTCTATATATTTCTAATTCAGGCTGAAGCTATATGAGAGCTCTATATATTTATGTAATAACTGAACATTTCCTTTCTTATCTCTGCATGTGTCTCCTTATTAGTTCGAGAAAATGCATTTAAAATAGGGGTGTGATATCCACACACCCCTTTTTACTTCTCACACACCCTTTTAATTTTCGGCCGTTAGATCGGATGAAATGAAGAAGATCAACGGACATAAATTAACAAGGGGTGTGTGAGAAGTAAAAAAGGGTGTGTGGATAGCACACCCCTTAAAATAGTGCATATTACATATATGTTACAATTAGAATGTCCATATGCTTATGCTAATTAATTATATTTAATTTATTGAATGTGTGTGTGTATTGTGAGTGTTGTCTGAATGCATGAGATTACAAGATGAGTTGGAATGAGATAGAGAGGAATGGGAGACATCCTCTCATCCTTTGATATTATTATTAGATGCAAGGTCATAGTCATTCTTTTTTAGTGTACCTCCCATTTATCACTTTGTCTTTTGCCTTCATTCCTTCTCATGTCGAACAACAAAACAACAGAATGCCTTGTGGGAACACGTAGATGTCGAGGACTTGTTGGCAAAAACAAGAAATCTATCAGTCTTTTGGTTTTACCAATATGAATGGGCTTCATCTACAAAAGGATATTTGTAGTATGCTTTGACAAAATTTGCATGGTTAAGCGTCCTGATATGCTAGCCTGGCAACGAAGGCTTCCTCTGGTGATGTCATTTAGAAATTTTAACCTATCAAAACATATCTGGCTTTTTTTGGTGTATATTGTATTTTTAAATTGCAGGAAGCAACACCTCCATCTCTCTCCTCTGTCTCTCAAACACACACACATACACATGCACACACACAAAATGTACATACATACTAACAAATAGAAAGTTGGGTTGGGGGTTTGACAGATTAGGATAGGTCTCTTGGTTTAGGTCTGTTGACAATTCATGTTAGGACTGAGGGAGTTTGGGAAGATTCATTCCTACTTATATGTCAATCACAATTGTTGTATTTTTTCACAGCAGTTTGATTAGATGCTAACAATTTAATCTCACCATAGACCAGAAGGAAAATGCTTTCCTTTCATCCCCAAAGGTCCATTGCTACATGTTACTGCAGGCAGTGTGTACTTTTTGTTTTTCCCAAAATTCCAAAGCAAACAGGGCCTGGTTTATTTGTTCAGTTTTCTTTGCTTTTTTCTTCTACTTTCAAATGCAAGAAAGGATCAGTTTTCTTTGACGTGTTGGTTTCTGTTTGTTTTCTGCAAGTCATATGCTGATGCTTGAATTTTGATGAGAAAACCAGTAATCGGATGTGGATTTTGATTAAAGTGAATCTTGTCTGCAGGTTATTTGCTTAAATCGTATATTTTTTTTGTTTGAGGAAATTGGATATTTGGATGTGAATTGAGCATTGGATAGTGATCTGATATTGTCTTAAGTCGATCTTCGTGTGTACACAGAATTGAGTTCTTGATAAGTAGAGGTACTAACTTTGACTGGCTCTGTTTGCAAAGGATTATGGATTTGGTAATTTGTTTTCTTCGTTTCGATTAGTAATTGTTGTGATTAAACACACTAAGCCTGGGAGATCAAATTACACGCAGTAAAAAAAAAACAGTCCATCGTGCTGCCTTCGATTAATAATTGTTGTGATTAAACACACTAAGCCTGGGAGATCAAATTATAGAAAGTTGGGTTGGGGTTTGACAGATTAGGATAGGTCTCTTGGTTTAGGTTTGACTCTTTTTAATCAATCGTGCTTCCTTGGATTCATTACACTTTTTAATCTTTGGTTAATGTTTGTTCAGTTTTCTTTGCATTTTTCACACATGGTTTATTTGTTCAGTTTTCTTTGCTTTTTTCTTCTAGTTTCAAATGCAAGGATTAGTTTCTAATGTTATATTTTTATGGTTCAAAAAGTGTATAGATGTCTCAGTTGATCACTCGTCGTCGGAGTGTGACCAATGCGCCTCCCGCATTATTAGCATCTATTGCTCTAGCCGTGAGTGCTCCATTGATTGGGGAGCCTACACCCCTTACTGAGGCTACTCCTACGGCGTCCCAGGTGCCTGTCTCATCAACGTCATCAGTGTCGGTTCAACCGTTCAATGCACGGCGGCCTCACTGGTGCCCTCGCGAGCCGGAGCCTTCTGATCAAACTTCCTCGGCATCCAGAGTCGAGGGTGAGCCCTCCCAGCCATGTAGTTTTTTTCTAATTCTCAGTACGTTGTATTTTTTTAAACTATTATTTTTATGATGGTGAAAATTTGCTGGATTATGAAAATGTGTTGTAGGTTGTGAATTACTGTTATTTTACTGTTTTAAGGTTTTGGGAAATGCTATACTATTAGGGGAGGTTGTGTCGATTTTTTTTTTGTACAAATTTAAGCTTAGGGTTTTCACCATTTTAGTATTTTTGGCCAGTTAAAAAAAACACCAGGGGCCTAGTTGAATGCTGAAGCAGGCACAGAACGCACATCAGGCCGCCTCCAAGATCAAGATTGTGTATGACTCGCAATATCGTGGAACGGCTACCTCACAGGAGCATAGCAGCGTCGCTAGTAGCTGTGGTGTTGTTATTCGACAAAATTGTCCTTTTCAATGGGAGTCTTGGGCAGAAATTCCCGAGGAGATGAAGAAACTGGTGCGAGACAAGTTGTCAGTTAGTATATTAATTTTTAGCCTTTATCATTTTTTTAATTTTGTTTACAAATATTAAAAACCAAATATATTATCTAATATTATTAAATTCTTGCAATTATTTTATTGTTTTTCATATTCGTAGGTCATTTATGATCTTCAGGACATATCCCCCGAGACCATGGCCTACTTAGAGGAGATCTTAGCAACCCGGTACAAACATTGGAAGAACAATTTTCACACGTATTTTAAGTGATGGGATGATCCGGAGATTGCTCGCCTACATGTTCCAAGCGAGTTGCAGGATCGGTCGGAGGATTGGGAGTGACTTTGCAAACATTTTACGGACCCAAAATTTGTGGTATGTACATAATATTTTAAAAATAATTTATTATTGTTTTACTTATTTTTTAAGCTTTTTTTACTAATTTATTTCAAATAGTCGCACTAACATGTATATTGTGTGTTTAACAGACGAAATCTATTGCTGGCAAGAAAGCTTGGGAGTCAAAGAAACTTCTCCACCATTCCGGTTCTAAGCCCTTTTCGTATAGGCTTAAGGCACGACGTTAGGTAAAAGTATATTAACTTTGAAATTTTATACAATTTATTTATTATTATTGATTAATAAAATTTTCTTAATGTTTTTTTCTTCAGGAGGGTTCTAAGTTCCCAAAGAGCGACATGTTCAAGGACGTTTACGTTCGACCTGGTAATGAGACCACTGAGCAGCTTCATGTAAGTATATGTAATTATTATTATTCTTATATGTATGAATCGTTCAAATATTATTTATATTTTGTTATTAAACATTATATGTTTTTTCTTTATTATTACAAGTTGCTATGGTGGAAAAAAGCACTGCTGTTCTCCAAGAAGCAACATTGCAGCTTCCCCTGGAGACCCCGATTGAGGACGTCACGGTACCCGAGGATGTAGGTTTCAAATCATGACTAATGTCCTGGATCATAACTTTGGTTGTCGTCATGGCAAGGTTGTTCCATGTATGGGGAAAGTGCGGGTTCGTGAGACGGGTGCCTCTTCTTCCAGATCGAACACAGCAGAAGTTGATGCATTGAAGGAGGAAGTGACAACCCTAAAAGGTCAGTTTGCAGCCCAGGGCGAGGAGATGAGGGCCTATGCCGGGATGGTGAGAGACCTTGTACGAGCCATACAGATGTCCGGCCTCCAAATCTCGCTACCAGCAATTCATCTTGCTCCACATTCGATCTCAGAGCCATCTCGCCCTACTGATACCCAGTAGCCTAATGTATCAAACCTAGAAGACTACTTGTAGTTTTTTCTTTTTTGTTCGGACATCTTGTATGTACATTTTCATATATTTTATAATTAAATATTTTTGCTTGGTTAATTAATTATTGTTTAGAATTTAATTACAATATTTATTAAAAATTTAAAAAAAAATATTTGGACCAAAAAAAAAAAAAGGATTTGCGCGATGCATGGCTAGCCACTAAGCCATTTTGCACGACGTAGGTCATGCGTCACGCAAAGTGACCTAAGCCACTTTGAGCGATGCATTCCTATGTTGCGCAAAGCGACCTAAGCCACTTTGAGCGACGCATGACCTACGTTGCGCAAAGCCACTGACAACTTTGCGTGACGTAGGTCATGCGTCGTGCAAAGCCATCCAAACCACTTTGCGCGACGCATTTTCTACGTCGCGCAAAGTCACTTTGTGCGACGTAGGACGTCCGTCGACTTTGCGCGACGTATGTATTTACTTCGTCGCGCAAACCTTACTGTCATTGACTTGGCACGATGGTTAGCACGAGACGAAGGTTTCGTTGCGCTAGTTTTTAGGCAATGAATTTTGACTTTGCGCGACGTATGTATTTACTTTGTCGCCCAAACCTTACTGTCATTGACTTGGCACGACGGTTAGCGTGCGACGAAGGTTTCGTTGCGCTAGTTTTTAGGCAACGAATTTTGACTTTGCGCGACAAAGGTACCTACGTCGTGCAAAGTGATTTTTCTACTAGTGTGGGCATCATTGGTAGATCTTTTACTTTGATATGTGAAAGCTCCATCATTGGCTCTTCTAGTCGAGAATCTAATTGTCGAAATAAAAAGCCAAATATAAGGTTCCTAGTAAGTATATATATTTTGCCTTTTAATGCATATCCTAAAATGAAAATTTATGAGGTAGAGCGAGGAATAAAAATGCTAACCTGGCTAACTAGCTTAACTTAAATTTGCATAAGTTGTTTAAGTGTCAATCTAGTATCGCTTCTAGAAGTGCTAAAAGTGCTTTCTGGTAACAAAAAACATTTTTGGATCTATAGAGTGATTTCTGAAGAAGAAGAACAAGAATCACTTTGAAGTTTTTTTTCCTACCTAAGAAGCACCTGAGTTTTTAATAATGTTTTTGACATGTTGTACATGTTGCATGATCTCTTACGAACAAAGAACAAAAGTGCTACGTATAAAAAGAATTTGAAACGAGTCATCAGTCACGGTGTGGTGTTTTCAATCTACTCATATTGCATAGTAACAACGATGAGATAAAAAAACATTTGATAATAGGGTTTTGTTGGCTTGAGATTGCACCTGATATTGGTAGGTAACCCTTTTCCTTGAGAAGTGGAAATGCAGCATAAACAGCGAGGAAGCGGCACCCCCGGTCCTTAACACGATCCTCGGCAGCTTAAAGCTCTCTGCAACCGACCGAGTGAAGTCGAAGATAGGATCCGAGATCAAGCATGCAATGGGGTCCTCCGAATTAACATCGTCGGATAACGACCCGGCCAAGTATCCTCTGAAAGGCTCAACACATTTAGCATTTAGAATAGAAAGACGAAGGGTGGGATCCTTGATGGAGGCTTCGTTTTCTGTCAAGTCAACAGGGATTGAATGGTAGGTGAAGTTTGTGTTTAGGGTTGAAGGATTGAGGGAGTTGAAGTTGGTGTGGAGGATGGCTATGAAGAAGCCTTTGGAATGCAGAATGTTGGCCAGTTGTAGCATAGGGTTTATGTGCCCTTGGTAGGGTAGTGGGAAGAGGATGACTCTCCTGCCTTTGCTTTGCTCCATTTTTGAATCGACAATCGTTTAGCTTGTGAGTTGTGAACTTATTGGGGAATGCTGAGGCGGCCGAGCTTGAGCTTGGGCAAATGTACTATATGGGAATTTTGCTCACGCATGACGCAACCCTGGAAATTCCAGGCTGGAATCTTATCTTATTGATGGCTCTGCTGATCCAACGGCTAAAAATACGGGCTTATTTTAAAAGTTATAGTAACTTTTGCCGTTTGATCAAATTTCAAGAGTGCGGATTGTTTGATAAGGAAGATTAGGTGGAAGAGATCCGGAGATAATCCATTTTTCTGTTTTTTTCCTAAATCCCACTGTCCACTGCCAGCTCCTTTTGTCGTTACCTCTTTTTATGTTATTTTTTTTGGCAAACAGTTTTTCATAACCGGGCAAAGATGCCAAACAGGAACACGAAAGCCAAACAAAGAGGCAAACAGACAACTACACCACAGCAGTAAGGAGAAAAAGAAGGTACAAGGAACCATGACGCCGCACCAAATGCTAAAGCGTCCCTTCTCAAACTAACAAAAAAATCTACGGAGGGCAAGGAAGGCCATCATTACTTAAAACATGGACCAGGGAAGATGGGGGTCTAATGACCCAAACATGATCACATACTTCCTTACACTTGCGCGACTGATGCGTGAATTACTTGACACACAAATTAAACCCTCTTTTGACAATTGTAGTATAGATATAAGTAGGGTATCGTTCTAGGCCGGGGATTAGGAGGGATTGCTAATCTATTCTAAATTAATTTAAAAATATTAAATAAGACTCAAGGACACAAAACTAGGCTAAAAACTCTAATAACTCAAAACACACTTAGGATAACTCAAAATAATGAAAACAATCAAATTAGACACTAGGAACTGCAATGGACGGAAATTGAATTAAAAAACTAACAACAATGAAAACTAACTAAATAATATAATTTAATAATGGAAGGGTGTTTGGTTTTGACTAGAAGTAAATTAAACTTAAATAAATTACAGAATTGACAAAAACATGAAATTAAGGTGAAAGGATAAATGACGGACTAGCTAGAAGGTTTTCTCCACACATGACACATATGCAATCTAAATTGATTTTCAGTTGTTCTTTCAATAAGTTGTGAATTTCAACACTTCAGATTAACCGTGAATAGCCCTTTTTTTAATCTTCAAGTTTTCCTTAAGTTATTGAATTGGACGGGAAAACGCATACAACAATTCAAAACATTCTTCAAAAGTCCCCTACGTGAAAAGCACAATAGAGATACAATCAAAGATCATTAAACTTTGTGAAAACTATAAGCATTGATGAGGCATTCGTAACTATGAAAAGCATGATACTCTTGCCAAGAATTTACTTAACGTGATTGTGACTAGCAACCTTTACTACTTGTGAATATAAGTTCATAACGATGAGGTGAAATTCACTTATATTCTAGCATCAAATTCATGCATGTAAATTAAGTATGCATCCTTAATCGACATACAAAAATAAGTTATCAATCAAGCAGTTAAGCAAATTAAATCACAACTCAGAAATCACAACTGAAGGTAATCAATTCATATTACAAATATATTCATGGCTTTGAATTAACCTCTAGCCAAAATAAACTTAGTTACACATTATTAAAATAGAAATAAAATATAAGTTTGGAAAGATTTAACCAAGAAAAGAAGATCTGCTGCGTCCGTGCCTCTGTGATCTGCTGCTGATTATTCCCCCATTTTTCTGCGCTGCCCCCTCTTTCCTCCAGCTGCAAAGCAGCTATTTCTTTATTCACCTCTGACCTTTCCAAAGCTGCAAGGGCAGCTCAGCTCTCGGTTCTCTCCCTCTCGTTCTTGCTCCCGCAAGGCAGCAAGCTGCTTCCTGTTTTCTGCTCCTGTCCGCCCCTTACTGACTTCTCACCTCCTTACTACTTCCTTTATTTTTTTATCTTTTTTTTTCTTTCTTTCTCCGCTGCTAAGGCAGCTTCCTGCCTTTTTTATATTTTTCTTTCTTGTTTCTGACCTTGCCAGTCTCCCTATCCTCTCTGACCTCTCCTTTCTTTCTATATTTTTTTATATCTCTTTTCTTACCTTCTCAAAGCTGCAAGGGCAGCTTACTCCTCTCCTCCCTCACGCTTTGGATCCCTCCTTTTCTGATTTCTTTCTCCGTCGTATGCCTTTGCTTTCCATACTTTTATTCCCTTTTTTTTTCTTCTTCTCCATCCGTTCCTTTCTTTTCTTCTACAAAACAAAACCATCATGATGATGTTTCAAACATCATCATGACTTATCATTATTAAATATAATTTTTAATTTAATTTAAAAGCTGATCTACACAGACAGTTTTGACGAATTTATTACATAAAATTTCACTTGTTCTATTTTTATTTTCTTTGCATAACAAATCCTATAAACACAAAAATAACGTAAATAGCTCAAAAATATAAGGAACTAACTAAGAAAAGACGAGTGAATTCGAAGTAAAAATATATATAAATATGATCCGATCAGCGACGCCAAACAGTCCGCTACCGAATTGGCTAGTCTTGGAACCCAAGACCAGCGGCAAGCTTGAAAAGCCCTTCCCAATCTAAGGCACTTCCTGAGAACTGGAAAAGCATCCCAATTGCCCTTCAAAGCCGGATCCCACAAACAGGAGATAGCATCGTATGAGTCAGATTCAACACATATTGAATTCCATCCATTGCTAACCCCCAGATTACACCCATGCAAAATGGCCAAAGCTTCCGCCATAGTAGCACCAGTAGCCTTAATCTTCTGCCTAGAGGCAGCCAAAAAACAACCCTGCTCATCCCTCGCCACAACCCCCGTGAAACCCACCCCCGACTTTGCCTCCCAATTGGCATCCACGTTTATTTTGATAACACCATGATCCGGATGAGACCACTTAACTCCATCTCCCAAACTCGAATGGTTTAGCAAAGAACGGGAACTCTGCCTTAAGATTGTCCCCTGGTAATCCGAGACCGATCTGGAGACAGCAGCAACCACCCTGCTGGGATAGATAACCTGATTGTTGAACTGAAAATCACATCTAGATTTCCAAATATGCCAGCATGTAAAAGCAATATAGGAAATTCGATCAATCCTCACCTCCGCTGACCCATTCTCTGCCGCACCCATTTGCATGAGCCAACTAGCCCAACTCGAAACTTGCTGCCGGTTAGGTCTCAGATTCAGCCTTCCTCCAAACCATACCACCTCCACCCAAGGACAGAAAAGAAAGAGGTGTTCTATGGACTCATCAAAGGAGTTACACAGAGGGCAGATGGGAGAGGGGGAAGATCTTCGAATATATAAATTCTTCATTGTAGCTAAAGCCGCATGCAGGGTCTTCCACATGAAAGTTCGAATTTTAGGAGGAACCTTCAACTTCCATACAGTTTTCCATAAGGTAGAAGGAATGGAGACCAACCTGGTAGGTTGTTGGCAGCGAACTTGGGATCGATTGAGACTCCAATAGTAGCCTGATTTCACAGAATAAGACCCCCTCTTATCAAAGGGCCAAACCAATCTATCCTTAAGCATCGGATCACCGGTTTGCAAATCCAAAATCGCCTCAACTTCAGAATCCGCCAAGAAAGGTTTTAAAAAATCCAAGTCCCATTCCCCACTCACCGGACAGATAAGGGACTTCACCTTTAGATTTTTCGAAACTTGAACTGACCCCAACGGGGACGGTCTCCCTAAAGGGATGGGGGGGATCCATCTATCCACCCAAACCCTCGTGTCATTTCCGTCCATAATCTGCCAATGAGCACCTGCCCTAAGAATCTCTCTTCCAGCAAGAAGGCTAGCCCAAACCCAAGAAGCTCTCCCACCATTCTTAGCATCAAGGAATGAGCTATTAGGAAAATAACGGGCCTTGAGAACAAGGGCCCATAATGTGTTAGGTTCAGAGATCAATCTCCAACACTGTTTGGCCAACAGAGCATCATTGAAAATCGTAAAACTCCTTAGGCCGAGACCTCCTTCCTCCTTAGACCGACCCAATCTCTCCCTGGAAACCCAATGGATCCGATTTTCACCAAGTTTTTGACCCCACCAGAATTTAGTTATCAATGCATCCATTTCATTGCAAAAAGAAACAGGAAATTTGAACAAATTCATAGGATAAGCTGGAATGGCTTGTGCCACCGCCTTAATCAGGATCTCCCGGCCGGCTTGGGAGAGAGTGGATTTTTTCCATCCCTGCAATTTATCCAGAAGCCTGCCTTTAACATAGGCCAACCCGGCTTTTTTAGATCTTCCCCATATAGCTGGAACCCCGAGATACATCCCCGGATCACCCACCCACTCAAAACCAAGAATATTAGATAGATGTCGAGAGACCTCCTCAGGGACATTGGAACCAAAACACACACTGGATTTAGACTTATTCACATGTTGTCCAGAAGCCGCACAAAAATTATCAATCAGCTGAATAAGATTCCTACAATTCTCTTCCTCAGCCTTAATAAAGATCAGAGTATCATCAGCAAAGAGAATATGGGAAATACACGGACCTGCCGGGTTCATCTGCACCCCCCTTAACCACTTCCTCTCACAAGCCTGTTGGATAATAAGAGATAGAACTTCACTAACCAAAAGGAACAAGTAAGGGGAAAGAGGATCTCCTTGCTGAAGCCCGCGAGACGGAGCAAATTTAGATCCCGGTTGACCATTTAGCAAGATGGAAAAGTTCACCGACGATATACATCCCAAAATCAACTTTCGCCATCTTTCATCGAATCCCATCTTCTCCATGACAGCCATTAAAAAGTCCCACTCCACCCTATCATAGGCCTTTTGCATATCCAACTTTATTCCCAATTCGAATTGACTCCTAGCTTTTCTAGTCTTTAGGAAATGAAAAAGCTCATGAGCAATTCCAATATTGTCTTGAATTTGCCTCTCCGCCACAAAAGCATTTTGGGAAGGAGAAATCAAATCCGGAATAACCATTTTGAGACGATTTGCCAAAACCTTGGAAAACACCTTATAAGAATAGTTGCAGAGGCTAATGGGACGAAATTGCTCCACAGATTCCGGTTTAGGCACCTTCGGAATCAGCACCAAGTGTGTAG